AGAGTTTTTGTAGATGACCTGTGCCCAGGTATGTTTTATCAGAGGCGGGCAGAGGGTCAGAAGGAGGGCTGGGAGAAGGGTTCCCACAGTCTAGTATGGCCTGGTCCCGTGACAGTAAGAGGCCATTGCCCTAACATGCTCATGTCCTACCGTTCTGGGTCCACCGGAAGCCATTGGTAATACTATGCTGATATGGCCTATAGCACTCCACAGTAAAACCACAGGGTGGCCGGTTAAACCTGTTTTGTCTGAACAAGAGATGCCTATCATGTCCATATGGGTAGAAAGTTCAAACAGTCCAAGTGTCAAGTGTGTTGGGCAGTTAGTCAGATGTCAAGTTGGAATGTGAATGCATGTGGAGCCCTGGTCTTGCCTGTCTGAGTGGACTCTCCAGCCCAGGGTACACAGACCCAAATGGGGCTGGGGTTGATTGATTTGCCTAAAGTCAGTTTTGTGGGGGCGGGAGTGATTTCTTTCTGCATTAGGGAAAGCAGTTTACAGAACAAGGAAGGAATCATGCTGGGAAAGGGACTTCTTTAGAAACTCGAGGTAGGGTGATGAGGGTCTCCTGCTGGGAACTAAAAATAATCCCCAAACAATGATTTAACATGAGCTCCATTGAAAAAACAGAGTAAGTTACCAAGATGTGAAAAATATTGGCATAGCACAGAAAATAACAGGCAGGGGTTGCACAGTATGCAAAAATATGTAACCTGATATTATTAGGTGAAAAGACATTACTTGGCCTACTGTTCTAAAAGGCTCGGCATAGAGCTTAGTCTGCAAGCTAGGTTTCTTATTCACAGTCTTAGGCTTTTTTTCCCCCTTCTTCTGATTCTTACTCCTTGAACATATTTGAACATTGAAATTAAAATCACAATAATGTAAATGAAACATTTATGCTAGATTTAATTTCCCTGTAAATATATGCCTTTTAAAAATTATGAATCCAGCTAGATCCAAAGTTAGCCTAAAATATCAGTAATACTTTGAATAATCTTGATATTTTATTACATTTCCATCTGTGCTTGCTACTCTTCTTTTACTTCCTGGAATACTTTTTTTTTTTTTTAATTTAGTATTTCAGTGAATCTATTTTTATTTATTATTATTGTATTTTAATCATTTTATTGGGGGCTTGTACAACTCTTGCCACAATCCATACATACATCCATTGTGTCAAGCACATTAAAGTATAGTCCAGCCCTTCAATGGGTCTGAGGGACAGTGAACTGGCCCCGTTTAAAAAGTTTGAGGACCCTGTCTTACATTGTCCAATGTCTCCCTTCACCCACTTTTCGTTGTCTGTCCCCCAGGGAGGGGGGGTGTATGTAGATCATTGTGATTGGTTCACCCTTTCTCCCTCACCTGCCCCTTACCCTCCTGGTTTCTCTATTCTCATTATTGGTCCTGAGGGGTCTATCTGTCCTGAATTCCCTGTGTTTCCAGCTCTAATCTGTACCTGTGTACATCCTCTGGTCTAGTCAGATTTGTAAGGTAGAATTACGATCATGATAATGGTGGGGAGGACGCATTAAAGAACTAGAGGAAAGTTGTATGTTTCATCGGTGCTGTACTGCACCCTGACTGGCTCATCTCCTCTCCGCGACCCTTCTGTAAGGGGATGTTCCTGTAATACTTTTAGAAACCAATATGGTTATATGAAATGTTAATAATACGGTATTTTCCAAATCAAGTAATATGTGCACCAATTTACTTTGACTATGAAAAGTAATGACTATAGATAAAGAGGTATTTGAAATGTGAGTTGTTTTATATCTGTTTTACTAGAATTAATATTTCAGGTATATATTTTTATTCCAATCATTCAGTTATTTTTCTAATTAAGAATATATTCATAGTTGATGTCCAGTGGAATTTGGCAGAGAGGTAAAGAAGAAGAAGGAGTTTATGGTTTTCTTATAGAAGACATCAGAAAGGAAGTGAATAGAGCTTCTAAACTGGTAAGAGAATTTTACTTGTTAAATCAAATGCAATAAATATAATCAGTACTTGGGCTGTGGTTTCCATCAACTTTATATATGAGGCTTTATAAATGTTATCCTCCACCTTTTATTAATATCAAATATGGTAAGTTTTAGAAGAACATTTTGCATTTTTATAAATGAAAGAGTCTGACTCTGGAAAACACATGTGACAATACTGACTTCACTACCTTCCTTATTCTTATTCCAACTTATCGACACTTAATTTACTTCTGTTTTCATGCTTTTTCCTAGAAATGCAGTGTTTGCAAGAAAAATGGTGCTTCAATTGGATGTGTTGCACCCCGATGTAAACGAAGTTACCATTTTCCATGTGGACTTCAGAGAGAATGTATTTTCCAATTTACTGGCAATTTTAAGTGAGTTGTTGACAAAAATAAAAGATAAATAAATGTTAAGAAAATGGAAGAAAGATATTACAATGATATAATTCCATTGTAGAATTTCTTCTTAAAGCTACATTGAATGTATACATACAATGTAAATAGAAATAACATGCATTTAGTATTTAGGAATATATTCGTTATTTTATATAGTTATTTCTACCTGCTAAGTCTTGAGAAATGCCATATTTGGACAAGGTGTAGTGAGTAATATTTACCTTCATGTTTCAGCTATGTAATAGAGCATGAAACTTAATTTATTCATACTCAGCAAACATTTACACCTATATAAATACAGGGTTTTTTTTATGTCACTCATTAGAATTAATAGTGCACTTTTTTTTCAGGGGGCTTATGTATTTTCTTCTGTGTATATTGAAGTCATTTGAGTGCAAAATTAAATATGCCCCTGAAAATACTTGTTTCCAGAATCCAACTTTTAACATCAAATTGTCTGAATTTTGGCATTTGAGTGTTGTAGGTGTTCTTTGTTTTCAGTCATCATGTCTTGAAACAAAAAGAGATTGTGGCCATGTAATAAAACTGCATTTGAAGTGATTTAGTATATTAGAATACTGACTATATGGTTAATATGTTAAGTGTAAGTTCTCATTTTAAATATTGTATGACGTTGAATTCAATACTATATAGACTCAGTTGTAATAATATTGTATGGGGTTCTGAATATAGATAGTACTTGCTGGTTACTGAAATCTATGAGGTCAGACCACTACACAAAAGTTCATATAATTAAAGTCTTGCTGTCCTTGATCTTAAATTGTGAACCTAATTTATTAGTAACAAGGTACTAGTCTATTGTAGACCAATTATAAGAGATGTGAGTGAATTTTTCTCTTATGTATAGGAATTGCAGTTCTTCAATTTAATTGTGTTTATAACTCATTAAACATTATTTTTAAATTATGTGAATTTTTAGGTCATTTTGTTGGCACCATCGACCTGTTCAAGTAATTCCACCTAATAATTACAGAGACTCCTTACCATGCACCATTTGCTTGGAATATATTGAGCCTGTTCCAACCTATAGCATATTACGAAGTCCTTGCTGTAAGAATGCTTGGTTTCATAGAGACTGTTTACAGGTAAGATAAGGTTTCTTACTGACTTGAATTGTAATTTGAAAAATTACCATCTGCAGTTTGTCAACAACCATTTAGTACCTTAAGTACGACATTTTAAGGTTTTTTAAATCTATAAATTATAATTATGTAATTCTTAACTAGGAATTTCGTTTGTATTTCACAATGTACAAAACAGCTATTTTAATACCTGAGTTTTCCTTAGACATTTAAAAACAGGACATATGAAATGATAACATGACTATAAGTTATTTAAAATTGGCTCCATGCATGGGTTTGGATATGTGGCAGGTCCGATCCATGGGCCTCTCACAGTGTCCCATGCGAAAGCAGACTGTCGCCCCGAACCATTGCCTGGCTTTACCCGTGAGCTTCAGGCACTGAAGCGGGTTGCACAGTGAAAAAAATAATAATAATTAATTAATTAATTAAATAAAATTGGCTCCACTGTTTTTTGTTGATATTTTAAATTCTCAGGTACCAGAGTCTTAACTGAAATAGTTAATGGGGTCTACCTAATCTAGATAGACAAAGCAATACCTGAAGAATTTTCTTTTTCAGTCTCTGAGTTTCCTTAATTTGAAGAGTTAAAGAAAGAATGAATAGATGTGCTAGAATGAGAACTGTGTGATAAGCTTATGTGAAATTTCATTACTGGTAACTAATACAAATGTTTGGTGAGATTTTTGTGAGGAAAAATGAAAGCTTAAGATGAAAGAAATTAATAAAAACTTTTAGCTCTGGGTTTCTAAATAATAGTTGCTATTCTTGGTCAATTTGGATTTCTGCAGTTTTACAGTCTTACTAGTATCATCCCTGTGCCCTAGAATTCTTTTTTCTTTCTTACTGACATTTCTTTGTTTTGTTTTTACTGTGATTTTGATGTCTACCTGCAATTGGTTACATATCCCTACAGGTTCAGAAATGTCAGTAGCATTTTGTTTTCCACTCATGTGCTGCACAAATGTCCTACCTATTCATTGTCTGAACCTCTTTAGTCTCTTCTTTCTTCAAACCATCTACAGATCATTCACCACATCTGTTAGTTCTGCTTGATAAAACTTTTTGTGTATCCATTGAATTTCATCCTTCCTTTTGCAGCTTTAACTGCAGGCATTTATTTTTTACTTTTTCAAGAGTCCACATATGGATCTTCCAATTCACTCTTCACAACTGTCGTTGTGATTTATGTGTATAGCCTTCACGACTTAGTTCCATACTGTCAGAATGTAATCCCTCTGTATACTGTAATCATAGCTCCTTGACCATATGTACCTCCTTGTGCCATACTTCTAAGAATGTTTTTCCCATTTTTCTGGAAAACCTGTTTCTTCTTCTCAACTCCTATTTGGCCTTTTCAGATCCATCTTGTCAGGCTCTTATGTACACCTTTTTCTTTCTGTATATACTATATATATATGAGGGGGCACCCAAAAACCTGGAATTTTTTCCAAAACTATGTATTTAACTTTTTTTTACAGAACAGCGTTATCACCTTCATTAGTAGGCCATTAGTATCACCTTCAAAGTACTCTCCATTACACTTAATACATTTATCTAATCTGTGATTCCATTCTTGGAAACATTTTTTTAAAATCATTTTATTAGGGGCTCATACAACTCTTATCACAATCCATACACACATCAATTGTGTAAAGCACATTTGTACATTCATTGCCCTCATCATTCTCAAAACATTTCCTCTCCACTTAAACCCCCGGCATTAGGTCCTCATTTTCCCCCTCCCTCCCCGCTCCCCCCTCCCTCATGAGCCCTTGATAGTTTATAAATTGTTATTTTGTCATATCTTGCCCTGTCTGACGTCTCCCTTCACCCACTTTTCTGTTGTCCGTCCCCCAGGGTGGAGGTCACATATAGTTCCTTGTAATCGGTTCCTTCTTTCCTACCCACTCTCCCTCTACCTTCCCAGTATCGCCACTCACACCACTGGTCCTGTAGGGATCATCGCCCTGGATTCCCTGTGTTTCCAGTTCCCATCTGTACCAGGGTACATCCTCTGGTCTAGCCAGACTTGCAAGGTTGAATTCGAGTCATGGTAGTGGGAGCGGGGAGGAGACATTTAGGAACTAGAGGAAAGTTGTATTTTTCATCCTTGTTACATCGCACCCTGACTGGCTCATCTCCTCCCCGAGACCCCTCTGCAAGGGGATCTCCAGTGGCCTACTAATGGGCTTTGGTCTTGGAAACATTTTTCCAACTTTCAGTACCTCCCTCATTTTTTCCTTCACCTCTTCTACACCATCAAATCGCTGTTCTTTCATGTCCCCCTTCATTCACAGAAACAAAAAGAAGTTACATGGAATGAGGCCAAGTGAGTAAGGTGTGTGGGGAAAGAAAGGCATGCCATTTTTTGCCAAAAACTGGCACACTGAACTGGCAGCATGAGCAGGTGCATTGTCGTGGTGGCAAAACCAGTCCCTCATCTGCCAAAAATCAGGCTTTTTTGTTGTGGTTGCACACTGTTAAGCAATTTTTCAGTCAGCTTGATTAACAGTCTGACCTGTTGGAATGAACTCCAAATGTACTACTATTAGTCGACATTTTTTTCAGTTCAAGAAGTTGACAAACGTCCACAATGAGGCTTGTCATCAACTGACATTTCACCTTTTTTGAAAGTAGAAAACTACTCGTACACTTGAGTTTTCCCTAAGTCTGTCCTTGAAAGCTGTGTTCAACATCACAACAGTTTCTGCAGCACTTTTCCCAAGCAGGAAACAAAATTTCACAGCCACATGCTGGTCTCTTAAATCATCCATCACAAAAAAGTTTGAGCAAAACTGATTTTTTGAAAAACACACTATTGACCAGAGAGAACTTTCCCAGGTGACGCTAGTGGGCACAGTAACTCAGTGAGTTGCTCTCTGCTTACCTATTAGAAAAAAATGTACTATGAAAGCTCTGCCCAGTAGAGCTTGGGGGGGCGGTGTACCCCCTCATATATAATACTTATATACATAGCAACATGCCTACTCTACGATTCTTTTGAGGTAAGATGAAAGTAGTGTTATGTTTCTATTTTTGGTACCCAGCAGAGTGCTTGCCACTATATATGTTATTGTTTGGAGTCACCAAGTTGCTTATGACTTATAGGTACCCAAACTTGAAAACCAAACCTCCTCCCTTTCAATTGATTTGAACTCATAGCTACCCTACAGGACAGAGTCGAGCCGTCCCATGGGATTTCCTAGGCTAGACGTCTTTGCAGAAGCAGACTGCCACATCTCTCTCCCATGAAATGGTTGGTCAGCTCTAACCACCGACATTTTTATTGACAGCTGAGTGTTTAACAACTGTGTCACCAAGGCTCCTTCATAGTGACATAGCAGTGGTTAAGTATTGTTAAATATATAAATATGTTCAACTTTTTTTTGGGGGGGGGGACTAGAGTCTTTTTCTAATAGGCTCACATTTATTTATTTCTGAATACCTCTTCCTAGTCCTTCTGTGTTTGTATTTGCTGTGAGATTGGGCTTTTATACTCCTGTCTTTATGGATACAGATTTAGTTAAAAATAGAAATATCCTTTATGTAGAAATATCTTTCCTAGATAAATCAACCCAAAAATCTTACTGTCTTAGTAACAGAATATAGTTGACAATGCTATTTGGGAACAGATGACAGATTAGGTACTAAAGATTGAGAGAAAATTAAAGAAAATGTAAGAACAGTATATTTATTAGATTAACCTTTTTTAGTCACTATTTAAATCAGATCTCCAAATTTTAGCAATGTGCCAATAGTCTATAAGAACAAACTTGAGAACTAACCTAGAAAATAAGTTTCTACAATATGTTCAGTGAATAATAGCAAATCTTTTATTACTTATTTTCTTGGGTACCTAGTACTGCTGTAACAGAAAATCACAAGTGGGTGATGGCTTTAACAAATGGAAAGTTATTCTCTCTCAGTGTAGGAGACTAGAATTAAAATTCAAGATGCCCGTTTTCCCTCTGTTGACTTGGGTCTTGACATCCATGGAGTTTTACATGTGTTGTGATATTAATCGTCCCCTAGGTCTAGGAGATTAACAATGCATTTTGCTCCTGGTTCTTCTCTTTCAGTGGTACTTAAGTGGTACTGATGATCTGTGCTTACTTGTTTATCTCTTTTGTGTCTCAAAAGAGATTAATTCACTTAAAATACAGCTTAATCTTATAGATTATATTCTGCCTCATTAACATAACTGCTACTAATCTTGCCTATTAATACAGATGTTAGGATTTATAGCACATAAAATGGAAGATAATTACATAATACCGAAAATCATGTCTAGCCAATTTTGCACACATTTCTGGGGGACACAATTAACTATTATCTAAATAATCTAATGAAAGCTTTAAAAGCCATTCTACTTTTCATTTTAGGTTCAAGCAATAAATGCAGGAGTGTTTTTCTTTCGGTGCACCATATGCAACAATAGTGATATATTTCAGGAAGAGATGTTGAGAATGGGGATTCATATTCCTGAAAAGTAAGTAACCTTTGGTCTTTGGTTTAAAAATAAAATAATCATTGATGTTTGAGTAAGTCATCGTGAAAGGCGAGATGATCATAATCCTGAAAGGTGAAATGTAAAGACTCTGCTTACTCCCAGATTACTAGTTCTTTGCAAACCTGAGCAGTGATGAATTGATTTGTAGTCTCTTCATAAATACTACATTTATGTAGTATATATGTGTGTATAATTTTAATTGATTTATACACAATTATAATCATCAAAATTTTAAAATTATCTAAGACTACTGGGCTGGGGTTTTAAATACATGGAAAAAATTTCTCTGGTTCTCAAAAATGAAGACTCAAGGAGCAGTGGTACAGAAAATGAAAAAGTGGGAAAATACAAGTGTTAGAAATTTTCTGTGTAATTTTCCATGTAGCATTTGAAAATTCTCACTGGGAATCACTGTTGGCTAGAATGACATGAATAGATTTATACCTTTAAGAAGGTGAGTGATTCTAAAAAGAAGGTCTTCCATTGACTCCCCTCTAACCATGGCTCAGGGATATGCACAGCCTTGCTATCATGCACAGTGCACAAAAGTACAGTATGGTAGATGTAGTTAGGTTAAAATTAAACACCTTATCATTTAGTCTCCCTTTGACCCATTTTAAAGCTGTTCTAGTTTTTAATATTTTCTCTCATTTTGATTGAGGTTTTTTCAATTTTTTAATTGTTAGGTTTTTTTGTTTGTATGTTTTTCTGTAAATGAAACTCAGGGTAGGTACATCTATAAAGACAGTAACCGAATTCATGGATTCTTGGAGGTATGGTGGGGGAAGTTGGGGTGGGGAATGGGGAGTTGATTACAAGGAATACAAGAAAGAAGAAAATGTTCTAAAATTGATTGTGGTAATGATTGTACAACTCTTTATGTAATG